TTGAGTTAGTAGAGTTAGTTGAGTTAGTAGAGTTAGTAGAGTTAGCTGAGTTAGTTGAGTTAGTAGAGTTAGTTTAGTTAGTAGAGTTAGTTGAGTTAGTCGAGTTAGTAGAGTTAGTTGAGTTAGTTGAGTTAGCAGAGTTAGTTGAGTTAGTAGAGTTAGTAGAGTTAGTAGAGTTAGTTGAGTTAGTTTGTTGGGTTAGTTGAGTTAGTTGAGTTAGTTGAGTTAGTTTTTGTTAGTAGAGTTAGTTGAGTTAGTAGAGTTAGTAGAGTTAGTTGGTTGTTTGAGTTTTGTAGAGTTAGTAGAGTTAGTTGAGTTAGTAGAGTTAGTAGAGTTAGTTGAGTTAGTTTTGGTTAGTTGAGTTTGTTGAGTTAGTTTAGTTGAGTTAGTAGAGGTTAGTAGAGGGTTTGTTGAGTTAGTGGAATTTAGTAGAGTTAGTTGAGTTAGTAGAGTTAGTAGAGTTAGTTGAGTTAGTTGAGTTAGTAGAGTTAGTAGAGTTAGTTGAGTTAGTAGAGTTAGTAGAGTTAGTTGAGTTAGTTGAGTTGTAGAGTTAGTTGAGTTTGTCGGAGTTAGTTTAAATTAGTAGAGTTAGTTGGAGTTAGTCGAGTTAGTTGAGTTAGTAGAGTTAGTAGAGTTAGTTGAGTTAGTTGAGTTAGTGGAGTTAGTAGAGTTAGTAGAGTTAGTTGAGTTAGTAGAGTTAGTAGAGTTAGTTGAGTTAGTAGAGTTAGTAGAGTTAGTTGAGTTAGTGAGTTAGTTGAGTTAGTGGAGTTAAAAGAGTTAGTAGAGTTGTTGAGTTAGTAGAGTTGTAGTAGTTGAGTTGAGTTATAGAGTTTTGTAGAGTTAGTTGAGTTAGTTGAGTTAGTTTAGTTGAGTTAGTTAGAGTTAGTAGAGTTAGTTGAGTTAGTTGAGTTTTAGAGTTAGTTGGTTAGTAGAGTTAGAGAGTTAGTTGAGTTAGTTGGTTAATGGAGTTAGTTGAGGTTAGTAGAGTTAGTTGAGTTGTAGAGTTAGTTTGAGTTAGTGGAGTTAGTTGAGTTAGTAGAGTTGTTGAGTTAGTAGAGTTAGTGAGTTAGTGGAGTTAGGTTGAGTTAGTTTGAGTTAGTTGAGTTAGTTGGTTAGTAGAGTTTTGTAGAGTTAGTTGAGTTAGTAGAGTTTAGTAGGTTAGTTGAGTTAGTAGAGTTAGTAGAGTTAGTTGAGTTAGTTGAGTTATAGAGTTAGTTAGAGTTGTTGAGTTAGTAGAGTTAGTGGTTAGTTGAGTTATTGAGTTTAGAGTTAGTAGAGTTAGTAGAGTAGTGTTTGGGGTTAGTTGAGTTAGTGAGTTAGTTGAGTTTGTAGAGTTAGTTGAGTTAGTTAGAGTTAGGTTAGTTGAGTTAGTTGGTTAGTAGAGTTAGGTTGAGGTAGTAGAGTTAGTTGGTTAGTAGAGTTAGTTTAGGTTAGTTGAGTTAGTTGGATTAGTAGAGTTAGTTAGTTAGTTTAGTTAGTAGAGTTAGTTAGTTAGTTTAGTTTAGATTATTATTTTTTGATTAGGGGGAGGTAAGGAGGGGTTATTATAGTGGGGGTTTGTGTGGAAGGTTAGGGTTTTTTTAGGGTGGGTTAGATATTTTTTAAATCAAGAAACCTAAACAAAGGAACCCCTTGAGGGGGGTTGTGGAAGGTTTAGGGTTTTAATTGGGAACTAAAACCACAATTCCCTTCCCAAAATAAGAGGATAATATCAAGGAAATTTATTGAGGGGATTTAGGTTTAGTTAAGGTAGTTGATTAGTTAAAAAGGTGTTAAGATGATGTGAATTAATTGCAAAACATGAAGGTTTGGGGCAGCCAAAAAACCTTGATTTTATTTTTTTTGTTATTAAACCGGGTTTTAAAAAAAGATTTAGGCATGTTAACATTGGGAAATTTTAAGAAAGTTTGAAGTGTGTTTTGAAAAATGATTATGAGGGTTGAAATTTATGGGTTAATCCCATGGAAGATATATTTGGGGCAAACCTAGGAAAACCCGTTGACATTTTTGATTTTATTTTTTGTTAAATGTTCGCCACCCGGCAACCCGTTAAGTTAGAGAAAGAGAGAAAACCATCTGTTTTAAAAATTTAAATCTTAAATTAAGAAACGTTTCGCCAGTCAGTGGCTTCTTCAGTCCAATACATCGACTCCAACCTGAGGGACTGATTACCTCAAACTTCTCATCAGCTTCCACATTCCTCGGTATTGGACTGAAGAAGTCACTGGTTGGCGAAACGTTTCCTCAGTAAAAATTCCCAAATGTTGTACAAGTGATTAATGTCTTATATTTTTGTTAATAAAGGGGAGGGTAGCGCTAAACCCTTAGGGGTCATTACTCCAAGACTATGGGAAGAACTTAGTTTAGATCCAAGGTAGAAGGGAATAAATCCAGTTCCATGAAATGTAATGAAAATGTAATACTAATAATGATAATGTAATACTAATAATGATAATGTAATACTAATAATGATAATGTACTACTAATAATGATAATGTAATACTAATAATGATAATGTAATACTAATAATGATAATGTAATACTAATAATGATAATGTACTACTAATAATGATAATGTAATACTAATAATGATAATGTAATACTAATAATGATAATGTACTACTAGTAATAATGTACCAATACTGTTACTAGTACCACTACCAATACTAGTATACTAGTATTGGTACTGTTACTACTATTGCTACAAATATTATTATTATTACTACTAATACTACTTACTAATACGTACTACTAACGGCGCACTCTGGCCTGATCACTAAAGCTCTCACTTTACATGGCAAGGATCTGCGTTTGATTCCCAGCGCAGGTAGAAACATTGGGCGTGTTTCTTTACACTGGTTATCTCTGTTCACCCATCGGTAAAGTGGGCACCTAGGAGTTAATCGACTGGTGTGGGTCGCATCCTGGGACGAGGACCTAATTTGCCAAAATGCTCTGCATAACTAACGGCTTTCTATACACAGTGGTACCTCGGGATACGAACAGCTCAAAACCCAAATAATTATGTAAGTGTATTTATGTAAGTGCTTTTGTAAGTGGATTTTTGGAGGTCTGAAACGGATTAATTTAATTTACATTATTCCGTATGGAAACAAATTTGTTTGGTATCGGCATTCGAGCAGCCTTCTGGAACGAAATAAGTTCGTATCCCGAGTACCACTGTAGTAGTATGTCATTGATGTTGGCTATGTCTGTATACCTTGTACAGTGGAACCTTGAAAATCGAACGTACCAAATATCGAACGTTTCGAAAATAAGACCATTTTTTCGGACAAACTGTGTACCAAAAATCGAACGCGTTTCAAATTTTGGACCTCCAGGTACGGGACCTGTCCACTGGCCCGCTCTGTCCACGTCCCCGCGCAGGCGCCGTGAGCAGTCTAGCTTTGTTTATCCTTGAGTGAACACTAACCTGCGATCTCATTCACACATTTTATGATTATTTAATTGTGTTTAGTGCTTGTGGGGCTGTGAAATAAGCTGCCACGGGCCCAAAGAAACTTGCTAGCGGTACCCCTGTGGTAAAGAAAGTGAGAAACACCATAGATGTGAAGAAGGAAATAATACAGAAGTATGAGATTGGAGTGAGACTTGGTGAGCTTGCCAGGATGTACAGAGGACTGTGGACAGTTATTTTGTGAGACAGAAACAGACGACTGTGGAGTTATTTTGTGAGACTGAAACAGACGACTGTGGAGTTATTTTGTGAGACAGAAACAGACGACTGTGGAGTTATTTTGTGAGACAGAAACAGACGACTGTGGAGTTATTTTGTGAGACAAACAGACGACTGTGGAGTTATTTTGTGAGACAGAAACAGACGACTGTGGAGTTATTTTGTGAGACAAACAGACGACTGTGGAGTTATTTTCTGAGACAGACGATTGTGGACAGTTATTTTGAGAGACAAACAGAGGACTGTAGACAGTTATTTTGTGAGACAGGGGTCCAATGACTCTCAAGCTGGTCCTAGTGGCATTAAAATACAGAGAAGGGAAGCAACCCCAGAGAGGGCTTTGATACTGGAAGTCCTCATGGAGGGGGATTCTCCTTCCAAACAATAACCCCAACTCCCTCTCTCCTCCTCCCTATCTTCCAGATGCCATCACCAATCTTCAATGAAGGTAAGTAAAAATGTTATTTTATATTACTATACATAATTAAAGACTATAGCATTTGTTGTGTGTATGTAAAGCTGTAATTAATCTCTATAAAATGTATTATTTTTGTGAATATTTTTGGGTTTCTGGAACGGATTAATTGTATTTCCATTATTTCTTATGGAAATATTGCTTCGAATTTCAGACTTTTCGAATTTAGAACTAGCTCCTGGAATGGATTAAGTTCGATTTTTGAGGTTCCACTGTACATGTACTTGTAGTACTGTAAATAGTTATTATTATTACTACTGTAGTATTACTACTAGTGCTACTACTAGCACTGCTGCTAGCACCGGTACCACTGCTTCTATTAGTATTACTAGTACTAATGTACCAACTTACTACTAGCACTATGACTAGCACTACTAGTACAAGTACTACTACAACTACTATGGCTAGCACTACTTAAGCTATACTAATACTACTACAAATACTAGTACTACTGCTAGTGTTACTACTACTAGTACTTCTTCTAGTACTGTTACTACTAGCACTATTATTACTACTACTACTGTTACTACTACATACTACAATGATAATATCTTTACAACAGTATATAAATTACAGTAATGCCAGGGTAGGTAACTCAATGAAGTTAAGATAATTAACCCAATAATGCCTAGATAAATAGCCCAGTAAAGCCAAGATAAATAATATTAATCCTAAGGACACAGTTGTACTGGTAATTATTTAATAAGCAGATACAAATCTGTTTTTTTTTTTAATATAAAGATTTTGATAATCTGTCAAATAACATATGTAATTTTTTTTTTTACTTCTGTTTAGCTATATAATTCTTGGCCTGCCTTTGATAAGTAATGACACTATTTATAGGCCAGGTCATATACCTAACAGCAGCATGGGGCAAGGTGGAGCATGGGTGCCTGGGATGAGTATGCCTCCTTTGGGATTTGGCGTGGTACCTCAGCAGCCAGGCGGCATCCTGACACCACCACAGGTTGGAGGTCAGCAAGTGGTGCCTCAGGCTGCCACACACATAACAAACTGGCACCAACAACAATTTATGGCAGCCAAGGTATCACTGTAAATTTTTGTGACTTCCTGCTAGCTGAAATTTTGAATACTGTTTAGTTTGGTGAAGAGGGCAGTAGTGTTTGTTGAAATACACAGTAATATACCATAGTTTTCTTATTTTCTGTTTTATTGTTTATTTTTGTGTTTGGTTATTCATAGAATTACAGTGTTTTGATCATTTTTTATCTCAGACATAATTATTGGTGTAATTCTAAATTTGAGGGTTCTAAATATTCTAAGTTGTTTTTACTTCAGTCGATGGCTATTTCGAGTGCTATAGGAGTCCAGCCCCTGAGTCAACAGCAACAACAGCATTTCAACCAACAGGCACAATTTCAACAGCAACTTCAGTATCAACAGCAGCAACAGTGGGCTGAAGCTCAGAAGATGGTTGAGGAACAGAAGAAACTATATGAGCAAATGATGAAACAAAGACACTTTGATGAGCAGAAAATGAGACTCAAGGCATTCAACACTTCTAAAAATGTATGTAATAAGGTAGCTCGCAGAATACCTTATAATGTGATATTCATTTTATTCAGCTATGGCTGTGGTCTGTACATACTGATATTTATTTGCTCTTCATATGGAAATACACTGCCTGCTCTGCACTTCCATATGAGTTTGGGATATTTGCTATTTTAGAGTGACATCTACAGTGTCCTGTAGCTTGATTGCTAGCGCACTCAGCTCACACACTGAGGTCAGGGGGTCCATCCCTGGTACAGCTGGAAATGTTAGGACATGTTTCCTTAATGCACTTACTGTCCATGTTCACCTATCAGTAAAATAGATATTTGGGTGTTAGTTGACTGGTGTGGGTCAATCCTGGGACAAAATTGACCTAATTTGCCTGAAATGTTCTGGTTGACAAGTAGTTTTCTATATATTAGTTTACCATTGATGTCAGCCAACCCTGTATACCTTGTACATGTACTTGTAGAAATAAAGATACGTATTATATTATCTAAACTGTCATATCTGCATGCCTCTGGCATGACAGTGATAGTGTAAATGATGGTGAAAGTGTTTCTCTTTCGTGTCACTCCTCGCCACCCTGCCTCAGTGGGAGATGGCCAGTGTGTTCAGAATAAAAAAAAATACAGTATCTAACACTTTTATTGCCTTCATCTGAATCTTTAAGTAATATATTTTTGTAATTTTTTAGGTGGGCGTGAGTGCAGATTCCATGATTGAAAATATATTAGGTACCAAAGAAGTTACAAAGATGAGGTCACCTCAACCGCCAAAGAAGGTAGGATATGTCATTTACGTAATATCATTTGCTTTGTCTTTATTAAATCTCGTGTGTTTGGAGCTCATGATGGCAGAAATGCCGGAGGTTAGCAAAAGGCAATTTTACTTGATACACAAGAGCCTGACTCACCGATTACACAATAACAGACCAGTCAGCCACCTTGCTCACTGGTCATGGATGACACCATATGGAATTTTTAATCAGCAGTCATTTTAAAATGTAAATGGCTGTTGATTAAAAAAATGAAACAAAATATTTAGCATTACATGCTATGGGTGCATGTTTGTCAGAATTGAGTGTACCCATTACTGGTACAACTTATTTTAAAAATGCATTTCAAATGCAAAATAAAATGGAAAAATAATGAGCACCTGATTCATATTGTAAGAAAAGTAGAAATTTTCATACAGCCACATAAGGATATGCAGAACAGTAGCTATCGGGCTCCAGCCATTTTTTTTTTTTTTTTTTTTTTTTTTTGCTGGCTTATAAGGAATGTCCCGAATAACAGTTATTTTCTGTTACAGCTTCCTGCAGTTGGTACTGCACCAAGTCAAGGATCAATCACAGTCAAACAAGGCTCACCTGTTGATTGGTCCAAGCTGAATAATATCAACACTTTGTTTAGTGCTATCCAGGTTGGTTGGCCATTTGCTGGATTCTTGTACGCTCGAATTGCCAATCAGACTTGCACTTTTTTGTTGAAAATGTTCAGAATGGGACAATTGATTAGAAGTTGCATGTAGATTTCTTTAGTACACACATTGTGCTTGCTCTCAGTCTTCAACACAAAGTAAGAACATTTCAGTTTCAAGCTTGTATAGGAAATTCCATATGGGTCAACCTTGCTGCTATGAATGATGCTCAATATATATTGTCAACAAATGCCATATAGAGCTCTCTCAGGACACCATGTAGCCTGAGTGTATTTGTAATGAGAGTGATTATGATTTTTTAATGTATCTTTGTAAAATTTTGTCTCATTGTTTAGGAGTACAATGAATGAACCCTTCTTCATCTTCATTTGATCTTATTCTTATCTGAATTAGTCTATGGGGACTAGGTATATTTTGTTTAAGTGGCTATTGTTTTTAGTTCTGTTATTTATCACCATGGTTTGTGTTTGTTGATCTTTCTGTCATCTCCAGCTGAAATTCTGTATTAAGTTCTCAGTGTCCCTTCATTATCTTGTTTGCTTCCTTATCTTTCATAATCCTATTACCTATAGAGTTGTGACAGACATTAGTAAAGGCAACATTGTACATTCATTTCTCATCACCTATTTTTATTATTTTCTTTCATTTTGGTCCCATAGCTTACCTCGCCTTTTTGTTCTGCCCATCACTTAATTTTTCCTCCCACTGGTACTTCCCACCTTGGATGGTATTCCCACCTTGGGAAGTACCAGTAGTTAAAATCTGCCCTTCTTGTTTTTAAAGGACTTGAAATTTCACAAATGTGCACTAATGTAGACTTAATCAGCATTTTTACAATACAGAGGTTTTTAAGGAGCATATATAAAGTGCAACATTGTACAAGAGTCTACTGTCCTTCTCAGAAGAGTTTATATATGTGTAGTTGCCTCCGGTAGAGGCTTGCATGTAATGCATGTGTTTCTTCTTGCCACAGCAATATCACTGTTCTTATGCTACTGCCTTACACATCAGACATATCTTCTTTGCGTGTTGCCTATATCGTAGCTGTTTTTTATCGTAAATAATTTGTTTTAAGCATCACAGGCTCCTAAGCATGTTTATCACTTAGTGAAAGTTGTCCGTTGTCTAATAATTCCATGAAAGTTGTATTAATGCTGAAAGATGAAGCTTGTCTCATGTGCCTTTATCAGGGTGTGGGGCATAAGTGGCAGAATAGACTTGTGTACCACTCATAACTAAGAAATTAAGGATAGAAATTGTGAAGCTTAATTCAAATGTGCAATCTTCAAGGCATACAAATCTTAGCTGAAAATGTTGCACAGCAGGAATGTTATAAATAAACATGTTTCTAACACCAGTGCTCCTTTTACCCTTTTTTCTCTTGTCCTTAGACTACCTCTACTACTACTACTACTATACTATTGCCTCGCTAACGCTCCACTCTCTTGACTTGTGTCACACCCACTACTCCTTTCTTATTACCACCACTGCCACTATTACAATACTTACTATAACTGCTATTACTACTACCACCACCACTGCCACTGCCACTGCCACCAACCACCACTACCATTATGCTACTACCTCCTTTCATTCTCCTGGCCCTGCCCCCTCTCATATATACTGGCTTCCTTTCCTTCGCACTTGTGTGACTAGTTAATGGTTCAAGTCGGACCAAAACATAGTCATAAGTTTCTCTCCCATGTGCAAGTTATTTGTGTATTGTTCCAGTCACAGTACTATCTCCTTTTTTTATTCTTTAATAGAAAGCAAATGTAAATTTTAATTGTTTCTTTGCTCCTAATACAGTACTTTTTTTCTTCCTACATGATTGTTTTGGTGGTAAAGTTGAAATCTGTTCGAGGGATACTGTATGTATACGCAAGTCTTGGTATCAGTCAGCTACTTTTTTACCTTTGGTGAGAGTACTTGGCAGAATATGATGTACGCATAGATGTTTTCCTGATTTATATATTTTAATAGTAAGATTTTTAAAACAAATACGCAGATTCCTTTAGTAGTTATAGCATGGTATTCCTTATGAACTATTTTAGTAGAATTGTTCTTAGACGAGCTCTTTCCCTTTTTCAGTAAGAAAAATGTATATGTCCTGTTTCATTATGTAAAACTGGTTAATGATTTATTTTCTTAGCATGTAGCTTTGTGAATTAAAATATTTCTAAAAAATCTATCTTTGTCATAAAATTTAATGTTTTTTGTACTGGTATTACATCATTAAGCAAAATGGCAATTTCTGTTTAGGGTGGAAGTGGTCTCCCTCCCTCTGCTGGAGCATCAGGACAAATATCCCAACTATCACTGCATGGATCTGACACCACTTCTGGTGCATCATTCTCCACGACTAGCATTGACTTGACTGTACAGATGACTTTTGGAAGATCAGACAGCTCTTTCAGTGGCCACCCAAGGTTACCCAGTGTACCTTCAGAGAATTCTACAGATGTCAGTGGCTGTGTTGGAAACATTGGCAATTTTAGCCCACTTGTGGAAAGTGGCAAATGTTCAGCAATTACTAAAAAAAGTGATAGTAAAGGAGTGTGTCTTCCAGGCTGGTTGAGTGAGAGTAACTCTATACCGGCAGTATATCAGCAAGCCGGTGCATTAGTGGAAGGTAAAGATGGATGGGTTGATACAAGCAGAGCATATATGCTTTTAATGAAAACTGGTCTGCCTCCTCCTCTCTTGGGAGTGCTGTGGGAAATGGTCAACCAAACTCAACCTGGACAGCTTCTTGGCCAGGAATTTACAGTTCTTCTAGCACTTGTTGCTCTTGTACAGGTAAGAAAGTTATTATGTTTGAGAAAACAAATGTCACTTATGCCTTACATACTGTAGTTTTGAAAAAAGAGGACTGAAATGGATGTTAAGCATTTAAATGAAAAAACTGCAAGCAAAGAAGTTCCAGTGTTGTACTTAAAATCTGCATTAATATTTGTAAGCAAGAATATTTGCAGCAGTATTTGTCTGCTCCTCTGGCAAGACAGTGATGGGGTGATTGATGGTGAAAGCGTTCCTTCTCTTTTGAGTCACCCTACTTTGGTGGGGGACATCCAACATGTTAAAAATAATTTGTAGGCAGTAATTCCGTATCTCCATGGGGAAGTGGAACAGAATTCTTCCTCCGTAAGCCATGTGTGTTGTAAGAGGCAACTAAAATTCCGGGAGCAAGGGGCTAGTAACCCCTTCTCCTGTATAAATTACTAAATTTAAAAAGAGAAACTTTTGTTTTTCTTTTTGGGCCACCCTGCCTCGGTGGGATACAGCCGGTGCGTTGAAAGAAAGAAAGAAGTAATTCCGTATCTGTGATATATTGTACATTCACTGTGTGTGATCACTGTGGCCTTGTATTATAAAGAATTAAGTATTGATGGTCTGATTGAGCTTAGTACATCTGCCATGAGCCTGGAATGCTTAAACAATATTGTATACAGTCAGGGACACCTGCAGTTGGTTAAATTTGGTTAATTGATGAACATCTAACCTAAACTTTATAAAGTATGTAGAGAAATTAACTTAAAATTTTACATAACAAATCAGCAATGCCGAGTGCAAACATAAATTTGTCTTCTCACAGTTTCAGGGAAAGAATTTGTCTATTTCACAGACTGCATATGGTGCATCAGAGCTGGCAATATTATTCCTTTTATGCTTTAAATATAAATTATAACCTGTTTGGTTTTTTCAAAGGTGTATATTAATTGCCCAAATTTTTTTTGCATATTTTCAGAATGGGAAATCCATCACAAGCAGTGAAGTAGTCAGTACTCTGAAGGAACCCATTTTGCCCATTATTGACCATCCAGCTCTTCTTCCACTTGTCCAGGATTATATTAAGCAAAAGCAGCAACAGCATTCACATGCAGAAAATAATAAAGAAAATGCAACATCAGGAGTGAGCCCATTACTAGAAACTCAGCAGGTTCCATCCTTGAGTAAGGATGATGATGATGATTTTGATGATTTTGTCAGTGGACCTAGTCAGGATGCAGCAGCAGTAGTAACCTTGCCACAGTGCACAGCCTCTGTAACTCCGATGCCAAACACTACAGGACAGAATAATACCCAGGCTAAGTTAGCAACACCCATTGTTGTACCTTCTGTCCCAGGCGGAGCCTCACAGCTTGGTCAGAGACTTTCAATTCCGAGTGTTGAGAAAATAAAGAGAATGAATCTACCTAAAGTTGGATTTTCTCCTGAACTTTCTCCAAGTACTAGTTTTGATCATACTTGTGATGATGAGTTCGATGATTTCCAGAGTGCAGCTCTTACTAGTGTTGCCTCATCTACCACAAATGTGGTCCCATCTTTCACACATGTGGCTCATACTGGCCAGTCGATTTTCTCAATTACACACGGCCATGGCAGCCAGCATTCTGCTCCAGCACCATCTATAGAATCCTCTACAGTTACCCCAACTTTACTACAACCAGAGAAAACTGGTCAGTCAGAGGACAAATATGCTGTATTCAGGGAGCTGGAAGCTCCTGCAGAAGAGGGACTTCATATTTTGCCATCCATGTCCCATGGTGCTGGAACTGCGGAACCTCTTGATGAAAGCTTTGGAGACTTTTGTAGCAGTGAACCTGTGAGTTTAACAGTCTCCAGCTTTCCCCCAGCTTCCACTCTGACTAATACAGGGACGAATAACACCTCACCTGATAGTTTTGAAGTTTACAGCACTCCTCCAGAAATGATAACAGAAAATAATGTAGAAAATTACTTTGAAGCAGATTTTGGTGGTGCATTTGCAGCATCTACTCAGCCTCCAAGTAATTATGCAGATATTCATGAGGCCATGAAACGTGTAGAAATAGAACAGAAAAGAAAGGAAATTAATGATTGGAGTGATCCATTTGGAGAGTTCGAGGAGCCACCGAACGTGAGCAGCACCTCGACCACAAGTTCTATACGAGTTCCACAACTGAGTGTAAGTGTTCATTTTTGTTTTGACATTCACAGTGGAGTAGAAAAATTAGTATTTTTGGCTGAACTACTGTACTAGCATTTTTAACCAAATTACAAGTTGATGAAGAGCTCTTGTGTCAAGGAATTGGAGCTATCCCTTCCTATAAGTACTTATTGCTCCCTATTTCCCATGTGCTAAATAAACACTATGGGTTAAGCACTTTCTTATGAATGCTGTATAATAATAATAGTAATAAAATAATATGCCTGTAATAGAAAGTAACCAAATGAGTACATAGTAAATAAGTTCATCATTTATCTTTATAGCTTGATCTTGGTGATGAAGATGAGGACTTTGGTGATTTTATGGGTCCTGATTCAGGCATTGTTGATTCTGTTGGTATCTCCGGCACCCATCCATTCCTGAACCTCTCGGAGAATTTAGGAGAAACTCATTCTGTTGCCAGGTAAATCTCATTATTTATTAGTGTGGTAATTTTGATGTGTGGGTTTTGGGGCTCATTTAGTGCTGCTGCAGAGGTTAACATGGTTGAAGCATATTTTGAATGTTGCAAGAGAAAATCCTGTGTACTCTCCCACCTGTAGTTTATATGAATGATAACCTCTTTGTGGTTAGAGAGCATCTTTATTGTGGGAAGAAGACACTTATGTACAGTTCTAGACATTTATTAGACGAAATGTTTCACCACAAGTGTCTTCTTCAGGACTGAAGACACTCATGGCAGACATTTCCTCTAATAAATGTCCTGAATTGTACATAAATGTCTTTTTCCAAATATTATCTGTATCAACATACTATTTTTCATGTCTTTAGTGTTGAGCTTATCATGCTATTTTTGAATTCCCATTGTATATAGCACATTCTTCTTCTTGGACCCCATTTCAGTAGTCTCTCACTTGGGTTTCTAAGTAGCCAGTACTGTTTCCTTATTATCCCAGTATCATTTTATGATCATATACACGTACTGTATACCTATGTAGTAGGTTGGTATACAGTAGTCACCCAGGGAGATATTACCATTCTGCCAAGCGAGTGTAATATGAAAGCCTGTAATTGTTTTACATGATGGTAGGATTGCTGGTGTCTTTTTTCTGTCTCATAAACGTGTGAGATTTCAGGTACATCTTGCTACTTCTACTTACACTTAGGTCACACTACACATGCATGTACAAGCATATGTATACACACACCCCTCTGGGTTTTCTTCTTTCTTACTAGTTCTTGTTCTTGTTTATTTCCTATCTCCGTGGGGAAGTGGAACAGAGTTCTTCCTCCGTAAGCCATGCGTGTTGTAAGAGGCGACTAAAATGCCGAGAGCAAGAGGTTAGTAACCCCTTCTCCTGTATAAATTACTAAATTTAAAAAGAGAAACTTTCGTTTTTCTTTTTGGGCCACCCTGTTTCGGTGGGATACGACCAGTTTGTTGAAAGAATAAGATGTACAGTAGAGTTATTACTCTTTACCTTCAAGGGGATGCATGTGCAAGGCTCTTGATCTAAGGAATTGGATCTGCCCTTTCCTAGATCAAACCTGATTACCTCTTGTTCTCCAGGTACTGCATAATCCCTATGGGTTTAACACTTTCCTGTGAACATCATAATAATCATGTCTCCTTTTCTTCTTATGAAACAATTAGGACATTTTTCATTTTTCTGATCATTATTTGTAACTTATATTTTTTAGCTCTGGGAGCAATCCCATATAATATTTTTGTTTTGTTTTTTTGTTTTATCTACAGTACATTATTAGATGCAGACACCACTATTGCTGCATTTTGTAATTTTAGTCAGAATTATACATTGAACAGTTATATCATTTGTCCATTCATATATCTGAAAGCCATTTTGAATTTTGTCAGTTATGATTTTTGCACTACATGTGGTCTGATGACAGTTTTTTTAAACACCTCGGCCATTTCCCACTGAGACAGGGTGCTGCTAAAAAGAAGAAGCACTTTCATCATCACTCATTCCATCACTGTCTTGCCAGAGGTGTGCCAATACTGCTGTTCAAAAACTACAACCTCTATCTCCACCCCTCCTTCGGAATGCAGGCACTGTACTTCCCACCAGGAATCAAGTCTGGCTTACTGGTTTCCTTGAATCCCTTCATAAATGTTACCTTGCTCACACTCCAATAGCACATCAAGTCATAAAAACCATTTGCCTCCACTCTCTCCCATCTAACATGCTCATGCCCGCTTGCTGGAAGTCTAAGCCTCTCGCACTCAAAACCTCCTTCCCCCCCCCTCTCTCCAACCTTCCTAGGACAACCCCCTACCCCGCCTTCCCTCCACTTACAGATTTATACACCCTTCAAGTCATTCTGTTTTGTTCCATCCTCTAAATGTCCAAACCATCTCAACAACTCCTCTTCAACTCTCTGGATAATACTTTTAGTAACCCCACACCTAATCTCCAAGCTACAGATTCTCTGCATAATATTTGCACCACAATATTTTTAGCTATTATTAACCGTAGATCACTGTCTTTGACAGTGAGAATTTTCAGAACAAGGAAAACAGTGCCAATGATGACACTCTTCAAATAGCTTGTGCTTCCTCACTGAGTAATGTTTAGTGTTGATGACTCTACAGGACAGGAGATATAGCTGGAACAGATATAGAAATCATTGATGGTTGGGATAGAGAGCTGGGAATACTTTGTTTAATTTTATGTTATCAGAATGTCTAGTTTTTTGTGTGGTTGTTATGTCTTTCCTTCTTAGTAATCGTATACATGTATATTGAATGTGCTGTCTTCTACAGGTCCCCTTCCTTGGTGAGAAATGGCCATTGAGGTAAAAAAAATATTTATATCACACACCTTATAATGTGACATAGCATTTATTAATTTTTTTTTTACTGGGTGGGCTGATAAGGCAACCAAAGTTCTTAGTCAAATGACCAAATGTGGATCATTTTATGAAGACCTTTGTCAGGAGATATTTACCGGTTTCCTAACTAAAAAATATCATCTTCCTCTGATCTTTCTCCTGGCTTCCAGTGTTGGCATTTCTTTGGTTCTTTGCTTATCTGTGTGAGAATTCATGTACATCATCTGAGGGATTTTTTTTTTTATATACTCTGGCCATTTCCCACCAAGGCAGGGTGACCCCAAAAAAGAAACACTTTCACCATCATTCATGCTATCACTGTCTTGCCAGAGGTGCACAAATTCAGCAGTACAAATAGGGATTATCTAATAAACTTATATTTTGTTTCAGTCTTGAGCTTCCTGGCTTAGAGATGACAGTGGGACTTCAGCCCTCAGAGACCCATGGGTCAGGCTCCAATCAGTCTCCTGATCTCTTTATACAGCCCAGGTGTGTATGCAGGAAACTTTATAAGCATGTATTATTTAACTTGCCGTCTCCCACCGAAGTAGGGTGACCAAAAAAAGAGAAAGCACATTTCATCATCTATCATTCAGTTACTGTCTTGCCAGCCACATACTGACATCACAGTTTAGATGACTATCTGAACTACAACATCCTCACTCCTCCTTCAGAGTGCGGGCACTGTTTCTAAGTCTTGAAAAAAAAATTTTTGTGTGTGTTTAGTGAGAGTGTATACAGACTAGTAACATGTCTGCAATACTTTCTCCTTTATTTTTGTTCTGCTGTTAGTTATACAGTTATATTATGTCCCGTGGAACTGATCATGAGTAATATATTACTTTGTTCAGTCAACTGTCCCCGCCTGCTTTGTCTCATCCATTTTTCCTGTTTGTCTCAGTTTTATCAACTTGGTGCATTGCTAACTTTCTCTGTACTTTCACCTGGCTCTTCCCTCTTGATCAGTCTCATTCTCTCCTGCCCCATGCATGAGATTTCTGCTTCCACTTTGTTCTCAGCAAAATCTCTGCCATGTAAATTTATTGCAATCAGTGACTGTTATATCTTAGACATTTTACCAGTCCTGAGGACAGTCATAATTTACAAAAGCAAATCCATAAATTTAAAAATCTAATATATGAAACATATTCCATATTGCTAAAGTTAAAAAGAGAAACTTTTGTTTTTCTTTTTGGGTCACCCTGCCTTGGTGGGATATGGCCGGTTTGTTGAAAGAAGAAAATTTCACATACGAATTGAGCATGAAAAATTTACATTTTTATATACATGTAAAATCTTCATTTTGATTTCTATTTACATTAAAAAAAATAAATATGTACTGTACGATACACTGATGATTAAAACTGAAAAAAAATGAGAAGCATTCTAATACATTTGAAGTAAATTAACCTTATTAATCAGAATGATCTACAGTAGGGCCCCACTTAATCGGCAGGTCAGGTTCCAGGCTACTGCCGGAAAGCAGACTTCACCAGAAAGCACTCCATTTTGTCCATTTATAAATGCATATAAATGCCTGATAACAAGCTTACACTAACATATATTAAGTTAGCAATAGAACTAGGCATTAAAAAGTAAAATATACACATAGTACATTCATTATTTACCTCAAAATATTTGTAGTCTTAATGTAGGGCAAAAGGTGAGTAGTATTTACTCTAAGAAGTCAGGTGTGGCAGCCCTCCTGGCCACCCCACCCACACATACAATACTACGATGTTTAAAGCTCCCTCGAGCGGTAAAATGCATATACAGTACACACATTACTTACCTTAAAATATTTGTAGTCTTAATGGTCTTAATGTAGGGTGAGAGGTGAAAAGTATTTATTTGTAGAAAGTCGTGTGGGAGGCATAGCATCCTGCCTGGCCACTCCCACCTACTACGACATTAAGCTCCCTAGAACAATAAAATGCATACTATATAGTACACTCATTAATTACCTTAAAATATTTGTAGTCTTAATGTAGGGTGAGAGGTGAGTTTTATTTGTATGAAGTAAAGTTGGGAAGTATGGGTAGCCAGGAAAGGCAGCCCTCACCCCAACCCCCCCCCACCCCCCCCCCAAAACAAAAAATGAAAAACAAACTAGAGAATGTTCTGTTTTGGTCACTTAAAATGTGTACAATTGTCCCCAGTTGATCAGTTAAAATAAAGAGAAACACTTCCATTTTCATGTAAAACCCTTTTTAGAAAATAATTGAGTGAAGGATGAAAAGGAATAATTTTTTGTTATCCCCCGTAATATTTTAGTACACATTTTCTTGATGTTGGGTAAATTTTGGTAACAAATTGTTGCTACCCCAAGTTTTTCTGGTACCAAAGTTGTTGGACCCCAATTGTCTGGCTACCAAATTGCGGGGTACCCCAAGTTTTCTGGGTACCACAAGTTGTTGGCTACCAAAGTTGTTGGCTACCACAAGTTGCTGGCTACCCCAAGTTTTTCTGGCTACCCCAAAAATTTTTGGCTACCACAATTGTTGGTAAAATTGTCTGGCACCCAAATTTGGTACCACAAGTTTCTGGCACCACAAGGTCGGTACCACAAAATTTTCTGGGTACCCCAAGTTGTTGGCTACCACAAGTTGTCTGGGGACCACAAGTTTCTGGGTACACAAGTTGTTGGTACCACAAGTTGCTGGGTAAAAGTTGCCCGGTACCACAAGTTGTGGTCCCAAGTTGCCTGGTACCCCAAGTTGCCTGGACACAAGTTGCCTGGGTACCCCAATTGCCTGGTACCCAAGTTCCTGGTACCACAATTGTGGTCCCCCAAAATTGTGGGCTAAAAGTTGCGGGGGACCACAAGTTGTGGTACCCCAAATTGTGGCTACCCCAAAATTGCCTGGCTACCCCAAATCCCAAAGTTGCCTGTACCAAAGTCCCCCAAGTTGCCCTGGCTAACAAGTGTGGCTACCCCAAAATTGGCTAAAAAAGTTGCCTGGCTACCACAATTGCCGGCAAAACAAGTTTTCCCGGCAAACCCCAAAATCCTACAAGTTGCCCGGCTACCCCAAGTCCTACAATTGCCCGGGCCCCCAATCCCAAATTTCCCCGGTACCCCAAGTTGTGGCTAACCCCAAATCCCCAAGTTGCCTGGTAAAAAGTCCCAAATTGCCTGGAAACCACAAGTTTTGGCTAAAAGTCCCCAAAATTGCCTGGTACCAAAGTCCCAAAAGTTGCCCGGGTACCCCAAGTCCAAAAAGTTGCCTGGCCCAAATCCCACAAGTTTCCTGGCTACCAAATCCCCCAAAATTGCCCGGCTACCACAGTTTCCCGGTACCCCAAGCCTCAAATTGCCTGGTACCAAAGTCCCCAAAGTTGTGGTACCACAAGTCCTACAATTTTTGGCTACCACAAGTCCACAAATTTGTTGGCTACCCCAAGTCTACAAGTTGCCCGGCACCAAAGTTACAAGTTGCCTGGTACCACAAATCCACAAGTTTCCCGGCTAAAAAGTCTACAAGTTGCCCCGGTACCACAAGTTTAAAAGTTTCCTGGTACCCAATTCCTACAAGTTGTTGGTACCACAAGGGCCTACAATTGCCCGGCACCCAATCCACAAGTTGTGGTACCCCAAGTCCTACAAATTCCCGGGACCACAAGTCCTAAAGTTCTGGTACCCCCCAAGTTGTGGTAAAAGTCCCACAAGTTGTTGGCACCACAATCCTACAAGTTGTCTGGTACCAAAAGCCCTAAAAGTTCCTGTCCACAAGCTCAAGTTGTTGGGCTACCAAAGTCCTAAATTTTCCCGGGCTACCACAAGCCCTACAAGTTCCCCTGGTCCCACAAGCCCTTTAAAGTTGTCTGGTACCACAAGTACAAGTTGCTGGCTCCCACAAGTTAAGTTCCCGGGCTCCAAAAGTCCTAAAAGTTCCCTTTGGCTCCCAAATCCACAAGTTGTCTGGCTCCCACAAGTAAAGTTCCCTGGTAAAAGTTAAAAGTTGGGGTACCACAAGTTGCTGGCTCCCCACAAGTTCCCGGGTCCCCAAATTTCCCGGGTACCACATTATATTTATTTTAATTTTATTCCACTGTGGGGTGTATTTAGTTGGATTTAGCAAAATGTCTATATTAACGTTTTATATGATATTTAATGCTCCTTAGAGTGATTATTATTGTGTTGTTATCATCATCATTATTAATATGGTCTTCAAGACCAATAAGACACTCTTAGTGATTTTAATGTGTACCAGCATGCCAGCACAGTGTGTAAGTTTGCTCAGGTACAGGTACACATACGTATAATTATCAGTTATAATAATAATAAAAATATAGGTATGTAGTCCGCCTGAGCTACATATCTATACCTACCTACATAGCTACACGATATTTAATGTGGCCCAGAGTCATATTACCATCAACATATCATGTTCACTGAGTTTAATCATTTCTAACAACTACCTTTAGATGGCATCATAAACAAAGAGAGAAGTAATGAATAATTCATGCCGAGAATTGTAAACAAAAGCGTTATGTATTAAGGGGAGTGACGTAATGTTCTCCCTCCACCCGGCAACCACATCTCCATAGCATATAAACAGCATGTTTATATGCTATGTCATGTGTTTCTTATGTAATTTTGAAGAAAATATCATAGATGGATTAATGAAAATGTCTATAATGACTTAAAATTAGACATTTAATGTGCCCAAGCGTGATTATTATTACATAATAGAGATGTGCTCATGGAGAATGTAAATAAACCGGGTAGCCCACACCGTATTTGAAAGACCACTTGCCATATAGAAAGTTTTGGTCATAATTTGAGATCGCCATATTAGAGGAACGCTGTAAGGCGAAATGCCGAAAACCGGGGCCCTACTGTACAATAAAATACCAAAATATGCTCCAAATGCACTATAGGTAGAGTGTACTATATTGTATAAATATCTGTTGAAATGATACATTTTATGTAGTATTGTAGTCCCAGTTTGTTATGTATTTTTTTTTTTTTTTTTTTTAATTTTGTTGATCTTAGCTTTAAATACAGTTTTTGTTGTGAAAATGACAACTTTTAGCTGATACTGTAATTCTGTGTGTTTAACACTCTATTTTTTATTATAATAATAATGTAATTCTGTGTTGTACATGGTAACATATTAATGTACAGTAGTATGTAGAAGTTAGTTGTATATAATAATCACCATACCTAATGTATCTACAAGCTTAATATTATATTGTACATACATTAAACAAGGTATTCTTTACTAAACATAGTCAACACCTCACCTAGGTTATCCAGTAATATTTGGATACCTGATCCTGACCAGTGCATATAATTGAAGGCTTTGTGAATGTGTTTACACTGCCCAGTTCGAGACTGCATGAATAGCAAAATACTAAAGAGTTGTCAACCCTTAGGAATGAGATTGGTGGAGTAGAGGATCAGCTGCGTAATCTTTCCTTAGAGACATCAACAGCATTTGGGGAAACTTCTGGAAATGGAAGTGGTAAGTAGATATCTTCGTATTCATATCGTTTGTAAGTTTTACTAATTAAACAAATGCAGCTTCTCCTCACTTAACGACGGAAATCCGTTCCTAAGACCACATCCGTAAACGAATTTGTTGCTAAGTGAGGAGCATACTATAATGGAGTGGGTTTGAGTCGATCATCTTTGATGTCGTTTTAATGTCACCTTTGCACCATTTATAACATTTCTGGTATACTATTTTTAAATGTTTGTACAGTAGTTAATTGCATATTGTAATAGACAGAATAGAGGAAATCATCTCTAATATACATTATTTAGTTATGCATACTGGTCAGAGAGCCCGTCGTAAGTCAGTCATCAGCAAACGAGTACATCGCTAAGTGAGGAGAGGCTGTATATCAAACAATTAGTCTGCTTAGAATGTTATTTTTGTGTGAATAAAATAATCATATTGTTTCAGTCTTGAGTTCTTTTTTGTAGCTATAATTTTAATGAACTCCACGAGGAAGTGGAGAAGAATCCTTTCTCCGTAAACCATGTGTGTCATGAGAAGCAACTAAAATGCTGGGAGCAAGGGGCTAGTAACCCCTTCTCCTGTATAAATTTCTAATTATAATAAGAAAAAAGAAGAAAAACTTTATGAAAGTGTTTCTTCTTTTTTGGGTGGGAGATGGCTGGTATTTTAAAAAAGAAACTTAATGAATAATGTAAAGCATGATGTGATCCTCCAACAGGTGCATTAACAAGTGGTGTTAGTGTAGGTGTCACTCAGCTACCCGGGTCCGGCTCTGTATTAGATGCTTTTGGCGGTGGCTTGGTGGACAAGTATAGTATCATCAGAGAGGAAGCTAGCAAGGTATGTAACATAAATGTTCTTGTTTATATCTGAAGGTCAGTTCTTGGCTATTACTCTTTATGCTGAAATTTTTGCCTTAAAGTAATACTTATGCAGAAAATGTTGTACCACTGCTCCATTCAGCATACAATAATCAGTCAGTCTGGTAGACCACTATTGTTGTTCAAAATAAGTTTTTAAAGGTTTCCCTCTGCCATTTGAGTGCATAGTAATGGTATGCAATTTGTTTTACTTTCCTCACTATGCAGAATTGATTCCTCTTGTTAATGCATGTGTTGTATTTATTTTATTATTGCCAGGAGCACTGACAGATCTCCCAGACCAAATCACTCAAGAAACACACATTTGCCATCACTTATTCTCTATTTGTCTTCCCAAAAGTGCAAGGGACATCACAATTCAAATAATTGAATGAACCACAATATCCACATCCATCTTTCACAGTGCAGACACTCTACATTCTACCTCCAGAACTAATATCCTTCACACCCTCCTTTTAACCCTTCCTGGAATGTCACCTACACCACCTAATTTATAAACCTATCTTTTTCCATCCTTACTAAATGATAAAACCAGTTGTTATTTAACTCGTTTGGAATTTTCCACTTAGACACAGATATTGCAGTTCAGTGTTTTTCCTGCTGAATTGCAACCTCTTGATTCAAATTGCTGAGTACAGACAAGTCAAATCAGGCTTAAAAAATTAATCTTGACTGGCTTTGATGATGAGTTGATTAGTTTCGAGAGTCTTTCTACTCCTGGAGCCCAGCCATAGAAATTGTTTGATCATATTAATGCATCGTTTCAAACCCCCACAGACCACTCTTTTAAGATCATTACAATATAATAAATGTAGATATTCTAGTATCTACTTATTTACATTTCACATCTTTTACATGCCCTTTTCAACTCTTCCTCAGGGACCAATTAACTAACATTGTTTTGGAATTTATGCACCCTCTTTCATCATCCTTTCCCATTCCATTCTTTTCTGCTTGGTATTGACATCATACATTAATCTCAAGCAAGACATTTCCACACCTTTCACCCTTTTATCTGCTGCAGTATATAAAAACCATGCTTCACACCCATACTTAATAGTACTCCTTTGATTGTGATTTACCTTATCCTTTGGAGACTCACTTGCTAAAGAATTCACTCCCAAGTGTCTGATTACATTAATTTTGTAAACACTCCTCCCATTCCAACCTCATACTTCTACATACTTCTACATACTCATTACCTTTCTCTTTTTGGCATTCACTTTAAGCTTCCTAATTTTACATCCTATCATTCTCTACTAATCTCTGAAAAGTATTCACTAACCTGGAAAAACATCTGGAAAATTCTTGGTCATAAGTATTTCAAATTATAAGACTCGGTTGTATCATCATTCTAATTTATATGTGAAGGAAGCCTGACTGTGAGAATAGAGTTTGTCTTGATCTCTAGTCTTCAATTCTCCTTCTGCTGATTGGCCCCCATAGGTTTAACACTTAACATAATAATAATAATTATAATAATAAAAATAATAATAATGGAAACAAATAGTTTTTAATGGAGATGCTGCTGGAATGTGAGCAAGATAACTTTTGCTAATAAACAGACTTTATTTTTATAAAGTAGAGTTCAGTACATTATATAATTAGGGATTCAGAGAAATTGGTTAACTGAAGGAGTCCTGGAAATGTGAAGGAGAGGTGGGAATGTTACAGTGATGGGCAATTTGAATTGTGATGTCAGCACACATTTGGCAAGACAGATTGAATGAATGATGATGAATGTGTTGCCTTCTCTTGGTCACCTTGCCTGGTGGAGAATTTTTTTTTATGTACAGTGGACCCCTGGTTAACGATATTTTTTCACTCCAGAAGTATGTTCAGGTGCCAGTACTGACCGAATTTGTTCCCATAAGAAATATTGTGAAGTAGATTAGTCCATTTCAGACCCCCAAACATACACGTACAAACGCACTTACATAAATACACTTACATAATTGGTCGCATTCGGAGGTAATCGTTATGCGGGGGTCCACTGTATTTAAAAATAGGTTAACCATGTGCTATTTTAAACCTAAGCCAAAATGTAAAAAATGTATTTACCTCTGCAGAATACTCATGATGAAGCTCACACTGGGTCCTGGCAGCGGTGTCTACAGTGCAGTGTCCAACTTTTGCAACAAGCTTATGATATCCTTTCCAGTCTTTCCCAAGCTGAGCTAAAGGCTCAGGTTCTCGCAACCAGTCAGATGCAAGAGTATTTAGCCAGTGAGTTATATTTTTCCCATGACAAATTTGTTAATTCTCCATGGGAAAGTGGAACAGAATTCTTCCTCCATAAGCCATGCGTATCATAAAAGACAACTAAAATGCCGGGAGCAAGGAGCTAGTAACCCCTTCTCCTGTATATATTACTAATTTAAAAAGAGAAACTTTCAATTTTCTTTTTTGGGCCACCCTGCCTCAGTGGGATATGGCCAGTGCATTGTAGGAAGAAGAAATTTTTTAATATTGGTTTTAAGATTCTTGAAAAATATAGTTGAAGACATATAGAGACATAAATGTGAATAATTATTATTATTTTCTAAAACATTCACTAATCTTATTTCTGTTTTTTTTTTTTTTTTTTTTTTTTTTTTTCTTGAATTCTACATAGCCATTTCATGATATTCACACCATTTCATACCTAGATATCCAAACAAACCCATGAAAACGAGTTCCAAATTTTTGTTGTGATTCCCCAGCCATTTATTGGTCGAAGTCTGTGATGTGTGTGTAGGTGGGAATTAAGTAAGGACAGTGACAGATAGAATTAAAGTCAGAATTACGAGGAGCAAGAATTAGACACTCCTTAAGGAAGGTTTCTTGATGCTGGTGAGGAGGGGCTTCTGATCCAAGCCCTTGGACCTAGCATCCCGTTCCCTTCCTATGTCAACCCTGATTGCCTCCCACTCACGCAAGGTGCTGTATGACCCATACTTGTTTAGGGTTCTTCCTCATGGTTCTTTTTTCCTGTATCTTGATTTGACTCTACATTAGCTATTATTGTACTAGTTCCTTCTTGTCTGTGGAGCCAGAGAATTCATCAATCTGTTTTTAAATTAGACACATGTGCAACTCTTGGGTATCTTTATTGAGGAAACGTTTCACCACACAGTGGCTTCATCAGTCCATACATAGGAGAAACTTGAAGAACAGGAGGAGAATGAGGTAATCAGTCCCTCAACCTTGAGTCGATGTGGTCAGTCCATCAATCTTGCACATGTGTCTAATTTAACAACATGTTGGTTCTTTGAACCATTCATCTACAATCTGTTTTTACCATACATTTAGCAAACATGTAACTTTTTCAAATTGTAAGTTTTCAGTTTTTTCTCTGTCACTGGTATATATCTGTTTGTTCTTTGAAAGCCCCTTCAAGGAGTGCTTTGTGCTATTAATAGGCTCTTGATCTAAGGAATTGGAGCTACCCTCCACTTCCTTGGATCAAACCAAATTGGATTGGCACTTCACCATGAATATACACAAATAATCCACACATAGGAGAAAGAAAATTTTTGATGTTTCGGTCTGACTTGAACCATTAACCAAAATATTGTCAAAAAGTTTCTCCTATGTGTGGGTTATTTGTATTGTGCCAATCATGGTATTGTACCTTTGTGTTCTTTCTTGGCAAACTTTGAGTTTGCTAACTCAATTATACATCAACATAAGTAATTCCTTACTAGCATTGTTATGGTGTTTGCTGTATTTCCATCATTCACTTTCCTGTCTTTATTATCTTTTCTTAAATTTTTGTAATTATTTTTTCTTTGAATTTAGACCTACAGGAAGTCTGGCATGTCTGTAAGCGCATCTCATCATCTAGTCAGCAAGTAACTACAAGTGCCAAAGTAGATGAGTTACTAACTCAAGGCAAGACTCTTTGGGATGATATATCCAGTTCACTAGATAACAGCATTGTTAAGGTGAGCTGTTATGATCAAAATAGAATGAAAACCAGTGTTAGTTAACTAAAATATACATATTATTAAAGAAATGCAATCATATATTTATTTATTTATTGTAGTTTTCATCTGTTTCTTTTCAGGTTGAAACTCAAGAAGGAGATAACCAGATGGGAGAGAGTGAAGTGTGTGGGGTTTGTCTCACAGGAGGGGGAAGCAAACTCACATATGGTGGACACTCATATCATCCTCCCTGTGCCAACCTCTGGCTCAACTGTGTTGACTTGCTCTTGCCTTCTTTAACTCCTGTAACTCTGCTCTGATTAAAAAAGTAAATTAATAAGCCACATGAAAGGTATGTTTGAATAAACAGTCTAAGATTTTTAAGGAATATTTGTCTTGCCAAATTGTTTTTGGCTTGATTGTATTCAGGTTATATTGTAACTTAATATTTTGTATTAAACAATAGACTATTCTAAATCTCATTCTATTTTTCTGAACTGTGTATTAATTGTTAAATATAAGAAAATATGTTCCCTTTTTTCAGCTGCTTCATCTTAGCTGCATTGTTGCCGTACCTTCACCAGTATATATCTGTGATTAATTGTTTTTGTCTACCTCTTGAGAGGCAAATAGATATAAACACACAGTTATGTATACTTTGTGTGACTTCTCTTCCATGATATGCTGTCAGGGTAATTATGCAGTCAGTATTAACTCTACATTGTTTATGTTTCAAGTAACTCTCTTCCATTAATGAATATTTCTTTTAGATATAAAGCCATCCTGAACAGAATTTATTAACTATAGTGTCATGTACATGTTTATTGTTTTCAATGCTCATTCCTGGAGGTATAACATGGCTGCGTGGTGAGAAGATTCTACAAGTGATATGCTGTTGCTTGTCATTCAGACGTTTATGATTGCCTGCAAGCACAAGCTGTAAAGATTTTTTATTCAAGTTATCCTTATTCCATTCTCTTTTAGTTGTGCTTGAAGTGTTCCTGCTCCATTCCATTTAGTTTGGTGTAAAATGTACTTGCCTCATCTCACTAATTTACATTTTAGTAATTTATTTACGTTGTAGTAATTTACTTTATCCCATTTCATTGGGCTTCAAACATGGTCTTTAAACAGCTAGTGTTGTTATGCCTTTTATTATTTTATTAGCTAGAAGTGTGACTATAAAATATGGAAAAATAGTAAAGCAGTATATCACTTAAGAGTGCACCAGTTCTTGATGTGGGCTGTAGTATGCAAGTAACACAATTAAATTGTTAATTGGAATTACCATTTATTAATAAAGTGCTGATTAGTGCTGCATGACCCATTCGAGTTTAGCAGTTTCTTGTGACTATAACAATAATAAGGAAGTGCTGTATAGAGGAATAAGTGTGTTGAGTATATTGGGTAATATGCATGGTAGAATTATTATAAAAAAAGTAAGAAGAACAAGTTGGATTTAAGGAGGATAGGGAATGTGTAGACAGATGTTTACACTGAAGCATGTAAATGAGCAGTATTTACATGACAGTAAGGAACTGTTTGTTCTATTTATATTTTTGGAAAAGGCATATGATAGGGTAGGTAGGGAAGCAGTGTGGCAGAAGTTGTAAGTGTATGGAATAGGTGGTAGGTCACTGAAAGGTTAAGAGTTTTTAAGAGGATAGCAAAGCTCAGGTTAGGGCATGTAGGAGAGGGAGATTATTTTTCAGTAAAAGTAGACCTTAGACAGGGATACATGAAGTCACCATGATTGTTTAACATATTTATAGATGGGGCTGTAAAAGAAGTGAATGCTAGGGTGTTAAGGAGAGGTGTGGGATTAAAATACAAAGAATCTAATACAAAACTGGAGTTGTCACAGTTGTTTTATGCTAATGGCATTATGCTTTTGGGAGCCTGAAGAGAAGTTGCAAAGGTTGCAGACAAATCTGTGAGGTGTGTAAAAGAAGGAAATTAAAAGTGTAAATAGCAAAGAGCAAGATGAAGAGGATAAGCAATTTAGGTACTGAAAGATTGGATATCAGATTGGAAGGAGGGAGCACAGAGGAAGTGAAAGTGAACTTATTGGCAGATGGGTCTTTGAAAGAAGAGGTGAACCATGGAGTTGATGAGAAAAAAAAGGTGGGTGATGCATTGAGGAATCTGTGGAGGCAAAGAATATTAACCATGGCAGCAAAAAGGAAAATGTATGAGTATCATGGTGCCAACACACTTAATGGGTGTGAAGCATGGGTTGTGAATGTTGTAGTTAGGATGCTAGAGGCAAATAAGTGTCGTGTCTGAGGGCAGTGTGTGGTGTAAATATTATGCAGAGAATTAATAGCTTGGAGATTAGGAGGTTTGAGAACTAGAATTATTATCCAGAGGGCTGATGAGGGGTTGAGGTGGTTTAGACATTTAGAGAGAATGGAGAAAAATAGGAGGGTTTATAAATGTGTAGTGGAGGGAAAGTGGGATAGGAATCACCCTAGGAAAGAGTGGAGGGAGAGAGTAAAGGAGGGTTTTGTGTGTGAGGGGCTTGGACATCCAGCAGGCATGTGTGAGCATGTTAGATAGGACTGGAGGCAAATGGTTTTTGGGACTTGATGTGCTGTTGGAGTGTGAGCAAGGTAACATTTTGTGAAGGGATTCAGGGAAACCTCCTTGCATCCTGGAGGTCTGAAGTAGTGCCTGCACTCTGAAGGGGGTGAGGATATTTGCAGTTTGGAGGGGCATCTGAACTGTAATATTGGTGCACCTCTGCCAAGACAGTGATAGAATGAATGATGGTGAAATTGCTTAATCTTTTTTGGATCACCCTGCCTCAGTGGGAGAAGGCCAGTATGTTAAAAAAAAAAATTGCTGTATATGCTATTGCTGTTCTAATACAGGTGTATATACAAGTTGGGTGGCATATTTTGGTGCTACCTCCACAACATACCACCACATTACAATCCTCGAAAACGTGCCACAAACTACAACTTGAGACATGCCACCATACACTATTAGGTAAAAGGCCAAGTGCATCTAATGTGACATTTTATTGTGGCAATGTTTCGCTCTTTAGGAGCTTTGTCAAGCAAAACATTGCCACAATAAAATGTCAGTTGCACTTGTGTCCTTTTACCCAACATATTGTCAGTAATTCTACCAACATTATTACATATCCTTTAACTTTGTCATCCATCTCTGAATGTTCTCAAATGTATTTATATCCATTCTGTAGTATGGCAACCTAAACTGAGGTGTGTAATCTGAGTGAGGCCTTACTACAGGTGCTAGCAAGTACCATTTTCTTATTTGATTTAGACTGTAATGATTTGTCTTAGAGCCTTATCCTTAGAATTCTGGCCCTAATAGATCTGTACTTGTCATCAGCAAGACACTATTCTAGCCTGTTTATTACTTACATGGGGAGCGCTAAGCCTGTAAGGGTCATACAGCACTCGAGCCTATACTTCTAGATTGCTAGTAATGAACATAAGAACTGATGCACAACAATTTTAAAGATGTAAAGTGTGTGTGTGTGTGCGTGCACACAAGATCTAGTTGACAGCATGCAATAATTGCCTAAAGGATTTGAAAAAAATATAAATTTTGCAAGTGCAGTTTTTTGTGACTGATGAAAGAGTATGTTGGTAATTCATAATAAAACCCTCCTATATTTCATTCCTCTTATTTAATGTATAACTTATAATAAATTATATGAGAAATGTACAACCAGTACAAAATATATTAAATTTACACTAGTTCATGCAACAAGAACAATAAAAAATATAGATCATATAGCACCTCTTCGGAAATACTAACATCATTTGTGATGAGAGGAGCAATTTGAACCTTAATGGTACAACACTTCTAAGTCTCTTCCACAACATAAATAAGATAAATGTACCAAAACATACAAGTCTGCCAGTATGCAAATTGCTCATCTCATTACCTGTCATTCAAGTCAAAAGACACTTCAATATTCATCACCCTTTATACAGACAAGGCAGGAAGAACTGTACATTAATGTTTCCTGGTTATGGTGATACTTACTGACTGGCAGCTTACTTTATAAAACTTTATACATCTCTGTAAACCATATTGTGGATGACTTCAAATATTACAATGGGAAAGCTTTTTATCTGTCTACATTGCTTGTTACATACCTAACCTTCCATCAATATTCGAGGAAATTTGATTACATGTATTGGCATTTTCCATACTTAAAGAGCCAGGAATCACCTATTCATATATAAATTATGAATGTATATTTAACTAATTAAAGTGCAATGAACACTTATCAATGCTAACCCAAAGAGAAACTCAAAATAAAGTTAAGTCTTTATATTTAAACTCAACTGGAAGTCAAAACTGAAGAAGATTCCAGTTGGGGGTTGTAATATAATACCAACTTCATTATCCTCGTTTCTATCTCCATGTGGGTTATTATTGTATATGGTTTGTTGAGACAAAAGTTCCTCAAAGTGTGTACATATCAGTACTTATGAAGAAATTTATCCTAAAACTTAGAACACTTAATGTTATAAATGCTTGAACTGCACATAAAGGCACTTAGGTTAGGTTGTGGATCAAAGATGCAGTAGTTTGTTGATACAACAACAGTACAGTATTGAGGGAAAAAAAATGCCTCTTAGCTACTCAGTATTTTATAATATAGATAAATAGTTCAGAGAACCAACAAGTTAATAAATTAGAAACATGTGCAACACTTTGGTATCTTTATTGAGGAAACGTTTTGCCACAGTGGCTTCATCAGTCCATACAAAGGAGAATGGTGAACAACAGTCGGAGTTTGAGGTAATCAGTCCCTCAATCTCGAGTCAGTATAATGATGGACTGATTACATTGACTCAAGGCTGAAGAGACTGATTACCTCAAACTACTCCTGTTCTTCACCATTCTCCTTTGTATGGACTGATGAAGCCACTGTGTGGCAAAACTTTTCCTCAATAAAGATACCAAAGTGTTGCACATGTGTCTAATTTATCAGTAGGCAAACATTTTTAAGTTTTATTAAGCATATTAACAGTAAAAATTTCATAAAACTTAAAATTTGGCCTTATTATTTTTGTGAGTAGTTAATTAGCATTTTAATGATATGGGTGAATTTTTTGAAACATTATCAAAGATACTATACTGTGAATACTATATGGTCATTTCCTCAGGGCATGAGGACAGAAAATACTAGTCTTTAAATAATGAGCACAAGTTACTCACTAAATCTAGCAGATCTGATACTAGTTGTTCTATTAACTTAACTTTTAAGTTTCTTACACTGGATATTTGTATGTACCTTCAAAAAGAGTAATTTTGATTAAATATTATTTGTATAATCTTTTACATTTTCCTTTCTAAATTTAGATGAATCTCAAAGTTTATGTACAAGTATTTGGCAGTTTATTGTGCACTTATCTTCTAATAATTTCCTATATAAATAATCTGATGTTCTATAAGAAGTAAAGAATTAGTGTCAGTACATTGTACCTCTTGAAAGATTCTTTAATACATATAGAACAAGAAAGTAGATCCTAAAGAGGTGTAAGCAAAATAGCTTATGTCCCTTTCTAAGGTAATGGAATCTGTAGAGACCACCTATTGGATAACTCAGTCGGTTCCCAACACTATATACATCTAGTCATCTTAAGCCCTGATCCACATGAAATGTATCCGAGTTTCAAAAAAACACATATAAGGACTAGAAAATGTTTAATGAGGTGACTATTGTCTCTTTGGTTCTAGTGAATTTGTCTTGTACTAGTCTTATGATAAAAGTTTGCATGGCTTGTACAGCAGTGCATACAGCACTGGAATCCTTGAAACCTTGCATTTCTGGTCATGATTTCAAAGTCAAGTGCCTAAATTAGCCCTCATGAGCCATCCCAGCATTATGGAAGGCTCAATTGTCCATACCTAATGTTATGAAAATTGAACATTGTGCAACTGGCATAAAGATAGACCTAACCATTCTACACTGCAACCTGAAATGCCAGTGCTCAAATTTCGGTGAAAAGTTGACATCCTTGAGATACAATTTATAAATTTTAATGAATTATGTACATATCCCCCTTGGGATGCAGTTAATCAATTCCTATTTTTTTTGTTTTCAAAAATGGG